TTGGACAAATCATATTTATGTAGTTTTAACCACTAACTTTCAATGCATTTTAATTCTGGGGTGGGGTGGGGTGAAATGGATGCTTTTCAAATTATTTAGAATTGTCTTTTGTATTTTGCTCAGATTTCTTTGTCAGAAACCCAGGAAGTGACAACTTTTCTTTTAAATAGATAATTATGCTATATTTTTTAATTCAAGGTTGAGTCTTGAACTACAGTGTATTCAGTGTTTTTCTTTAAGTAGGCTGTAACTGTCCTTGCAGTACACAACACTGTGGCTGGCATCAGTTCGAGTCTGGCTGGGAATCTGATGCACCAACTCGGGCCTCCCCTGAAGGCAGCCACTGGGATCGGTCCGCAGGGCCAGGTTAGGGCTGCAGCCGACCTCACTACAGGCTGGTGGCTGGCTGCATCCTGGGAACCTTGCGTGTGGTTTTGAACACAGCAGGCACTGAGGCTGGATGGGTGCAGGCAGAGCGGGACACGGAGCCAGTGGGGGCTGGCAGGGAAGCCCTCCTCTCTCCCAGCTCCATGGCACCACCAGCCAGTCTCTGGGGAAGCCTGGGTAACTCTTCAGTTTTTAATTTTCCCAGGGCACCAGAGTTAAGAATTCACCTGGAAAACATGTGTTTCTCTTCTCATGAACACCTGGGATCTCACTCCACATTTAGAAGAGGTTGATACATGATTATCCTCTTCCAAACGGGTCTGAAAGACATCCCCGGAGTTTAGGGAACCAACGGGCTGAAGCGCAGGAGATACTCTCTGCACTTGTTTGTTTTAGCTGAAGAGGGAGGCTGACATGGGAGGGCACGGGCTGGCAGTGTGGATGGTGTCACTGAACATGACGGGTTCCTGAGCTGCCAGCTGCCGTAAGCAGCCACTGGGCGCTAACGAGCTTCTTTGGGATGGAGAGCATCTCCAGGTATCTCAGGAATGCGAGGTCACCCAGTCACTCGCTAACAGATCTTTCTTCTGTATGTAGAGGGGACGAAGGAAAGTGCCCGGCCCCTTGGTCACTCATTAAACACCACTGGGTGTCAGGAAAACAGCAAAGGCGGCCCTGACTTTGGCTCTAGTGTCATAATAAATTGATAAATCCATACAGCCTAACATTTATTGAGCCAGGCTCTTTAGCTCTTAGATATTTTCACGCATCTAATCTTTACAGCCATGTAATAAAGTGGGCATCAAGGTGATCCTTTTTTTTTGCAAATAAGAAAACAGAGGCAGGGAGAAAATCAGCACTTGCCCAGGGTCACAGGTGTGGTAAAAGAGTCAGGTTTGATCTAAGCATCTGACCCAAGAGCCTGGTGGCCTGGTTTGCCAGGAAAAGGGAACCCATAGGGGAGACTGGGCCAGTGCTTCCCCGAGGAAGCAATGATCAGTCTGCAGTCAGGCTGGGGGATGGGTAATCAACAAAGATATGTGCTTTCACCCGTGGGTGGGTGAAGCTTCATGTCTCAGAATGTAGCACTGCCCAGGTTGGTCAGTAGAACACCGGTTGGTGGCCAGGAGGGTTGGGAGCAGGAAGGAGAAGCATCCCCATGGTAGAGATGGCTGGATGTGGTCGGGCACCCTGTGGACTTGACAACTCAGTGCAGGTGGTTTCAAAGATCATCACTTTGTAATCCCATGACCGAAGGGCTCAGAAGTTGTTGGAGAGTTGGGGATTGAAATCAGTTTCTTCGAACAGGAAGAATATGGGTGCTGCTGAAAGGTGTCTTTGCGGCTCAGAGGATGTTACTGAGTTCAGACTGAAGGAACTAAGGAGGATATGAAAAACCCCTTCTCAGGACACGCATGGTAGGGCGTGACGAGGACCAGCAGTAGCCCAGCTCGGGGCGAGGCCCCAGGATCGATGGAGGCTCCTGCAGAGAGTGGAGGGCAGCAGAGCGCTCGTCAGTGTTGATCGGAACAAGGACAACACGGGCTGCACTGACCGACTGGTTCTCAGGGCAGCTGGTGTCTGGAAGGACAAAGAGGAAGGAGCAGCTTTGCTTTGCCCAGGGACAGAGAACCTTCCCCCAGGTGCAGAGGGCATTGGTGGGTCAAGGCACGAAGGGAGGCCTGAGACAGTGCCTGTGGTCTCCTGTCCCAGAACTCACTGGCCAGGGCATTGAGTGACCCCAGAGATGACCTCACATGTCTGCAGAGGTCATCTCAGAGGCGTGGGGGTCCAAGACAGGTGCACGTAGTCTGGAGCCAGATGAGACCTGAAGTCCGACGCTGACCTTGGGAAGGAGCCTGGGAGTCCATCAGCAAGATGAGATGAGTTTAGAGGGTGGCAGGGACTCACTGGGGACAAGCTGTGTCCAACTCACATCATCTTCCGTTGTGAGAAGCTTCAATCTGTGATTGTTGCACACAGAGTGGACGGAGGTTCGATGGGGTGCAGACAGAGTTTGCAGGACATTCTTCGCCCTTGCCTGGGTGACCTTCCCGGCAGTGCTGATGCCTGTGACAGTGATGAGCCTCAGGGGGCTGGGGACTCACGCTGAAGGCCCCAGCCAGCACCTTCGTTTGCTCCGTTGTGTCCTCCTCCTTTTCCTGTTCCTCCTCCTCATTATTAGTACTTTCATATTATACCATCTTCTTTTCTTTGTTCTGCTCCTTCTCCTTCTCATTGCGAAATGCGTCCTGTAGCACGCACGGAGGATGAAGTCGGATGGGCAGCTAACCCGGCCGACGGCAGAATTCAGACCCACGGTGGTCCCGGGAAGTGGAGCGCAGCGCTGAGCTCGGCAGCTGCTGAGGCGGGTGCAGAGGAACACACTGGGGCTGGGACGGGCGCTTTGCTCCTTCCGTGGCTCTGACGTTTTCACGCAGTAAGGTGATTGCGCCTCTGGCTGTAGACTTATGTCATCAGTAAACAGTGGCGTCTGTCTTTATGTCATGAAGGACCCTGGCAGTGAAGTGTCCCACCCTGCAGTGAGGCCGCACAGCCCGACGTTGAGTGCTGAGAAGAGGGAGCCCTGTCTGGCTCGGGGTGCTCGGGGTGCTCGGGGTGCTCGGGCAACGGGCGGTGGCTGCCAAGGCTGCCTGAGCTGTGAGGGCTGCCCAGCGGGGCTGTGTGCGGAGGGATGTCGGGGTGCGTGGGACCGGAGGACAACTGGGGGCTCCTGCCCAGGCCTTGGAGACGCATCTAGATGACAATTCGAAACTGTTGCTGAGAGAAATATCTGAGAGGAAGAGAGAGATTGTGTGTGTGTGTGTGTGTGTGTGTGTGATGTGCATTTGTGTGTGAGTGTATGTATGTGTGTGAATGTGTGAGTGTGTGTGTGCATGTATGTGTAGTGTGAGGACATGCGTGTGCCTGGGTGTGTTCCTTCGCAGAGCAAAGGGCTTCCAGCCACCCAGCCGGCCTGAGGACTGGACAGAACTGGCTTCCCCCCGAGAGTCCTACTCTGGGGAGACCTGTGGGGATCGTTAGCTCAGCCCTCATCTAGAGCCGGGAATTGAGGCTGCGAGCTGCGGACGGTTACTGGGGCCTTCAGGGGACTCCCGTGGCCACCTCCCCTCCTGGACCCTGGCCGCACTGGTCTCTGACGTGGGTGGCGTCCTTCGGAGGAATTAGTTTGGAAAGGGGCTCGGCAGGCTCAGACCCCCTGGAAGCACAGTTCGGACGTGGTGCTCACCACCAGGGGCCTTGTGAGGGTACCGTGGGTGGTGCAACCAAAGCAGCTCTGGGGACACGCCCCTGGTGTCACCCCAGCTGCACCTCCTGCCTGCAGGGAACCCGGGCAGGCTGTGCAGCCTTCCCAAGCCTGCGTCCCCCTGCTGGTGGAAAAGGGAGAGGGTGGAAGGAGCTGCCCCCTGCCACCGACCCCTGCCTCCGAGCCGGAGGGGGGAGGAGGGCAGGGGCCGGGGCCTCCTTTTCCACGTGGGGCAGAGCAGGCGGCAGGGCTGGAGGAAGGAGCTGACCAGCGCCCCCATGGTGTTTATGCATAACAAGCCCATGGAAGTGCCCGTGAAGAGCCCAGCCACCTGCTCCTCAGGGTCCTCCTGGGCCTGGGGCTGCCGCTTTCTAGCGAGGACAACCTGAGCACGCAGCCCAGTCCCCCAGCAGCACTGCTCCCCAGCGGAGGCGGGGCTTGGAGGCGGTTTCCCAACGTCTAGAACCTGCTGGTGGAGCTGATTAGGGAAAGGCAAGGGTGAATGAGCAGGGCTGACGCCACCCTCTCCTCCTCTGGGCCACCCCACGTGTGGCCACTACATACCTCCCCTCGAAGCCCCACGAGCCTGTGGAAGCTACGCCACCTGAGTGTGCCTAGCAGGTGGGCACAAGAGAACAGTTGTCAGGTGAGCAGAAGAAAAGCGAGGGGTTAAGAGTGAGGAGAGCCAAGTGTTGGCACTTTCAGAGTCGAGACAGGAGAAACCCCCACTTGTCCAGGGGAAGGCCAGGCGCAGAGGTGGCTGTCCCCCCGGGGCAGGAGCAAAGGCCGGCGCAGCTCCGGACCCACGCGGTCACGCCTGGGAATTCACTGCTTCAGCTTCCTCTCTGGCCACCCGTACTGCAGGAGCTCCTGTCCCCAGGGACTTGAAGTTCTTGGTGCTTCTGATGATTTTGGGGGGCCTGGCTGTGCAGCAAGGGCTGCAAACTGCCCTCCGTCCACGCAGACACGTCAGAGCTGTCAACTTTAAAGCAGGCTGGCGGATGCTGACAGGAGGGAGACAGTACCGAGTCACGCCTCGGGGTGGCAGCGTTGTGCAGCGTGGTTGTCTTTCTGGGACAGAGCCCAGGAGGTGAACGCAGGTGGCAGATCTGAGACAGGATGAGCTGTGGCATCTAGACTACTCAGGGTTCTTTGGGTGCAAACAACTGCTTGTCCTGTGTTTTCCTCTCCGCAGCTTTCTGTGGTCCAGGTGCGGCTGGCCCGCCATCGGGGAGCCTTCCAGTGCCACAGTTCTTCCCAGGCCTGACCCTCCAGAATGCCGAAGCCCCGAAGACAGCTGTTGGCGTGTCCACCTTGCTGAGCTGTCCCGGCCCTGCTAGTCCACATGGCTGCTGGGAAGGGGGTTCTGTGGAGCCCTCCCGTGGAAACCAGAGGGTGGCTCAGTGAACCCCAGCCGGTGCTGCTGGAGAAAAGAAACCACCCCAGCTCCGAGGCTGCCGTGGGCGGTGCGGGCCAGGGTGAGGCACCGTCCACACCCCCGGGCACGCTGAGCCTGGGAACGCCACCGGCCCGCTGGGGACAGGGCCGGAGCGCCTTCGCGGAGGTACCTCGGTTCAAGAAGAGGCTGCGGGGAAGGCGGGCCAAGGACGGAGAGCGTGCTGACCTCACAGGCCAGCCTGGCCCTCGGCAGCTGGCCCGGGACACCCCCAGGGCCCCGGGCGGCAGAACGGCCCTCTCTGGGTGGCCCCGCGGAGCTGGCAGGGAGCAGAGAGGTGCCTTCAGCCAACCAGCGGGGTGCCCGTCAGGGAGACCGGGCTCGGCCTCTCTCCTCCAGGCGGGCGGGCCTGCAGATGCCCCGGGGGAGCTGTGGGGACTCGTCAAGATGGTAGACATGCCTTGTCGGGGTCATCTTTCCAGTTCCAAGCTTCTGGCGGGGGGTTTCTGGAGCCTGTCTGTGCCGCCTCAGTATGCTCCCCTCCGCGGTGGCCTCTTGGGCGCCCCCACGCTGTGGCTGCAGCAGGCTGTGACCCAAACACCCACCCCCGCGTCACCCTCCCCTGCCTCCTGGGCCCTCCTGCCGCCCACCTGCTCTTCCCCGGGCGCGACCCCCCAGAACTGGTGCGCAAAGTGCAGCGCCTCCTTCCGCCTGACCTCTGACCTGGTCCTCCACATGCGGTCCCGCCACAAAAAGGAACCTGTGAGGCCTGACCCACGTTCTAGGCAGCTGAGGAGAGAGGCACTCACGTGCCCCGTGTGCCGGGAGGACTTCCGGGAGCGCCACCATCTCTCCCGGCACCTGACGGCTCACAGGTGACAGGTGGCTGCGAGCCGCCTCCGGGCGCAGTGCCAGCCTCGGCGGGGCAGCTCGCCGGCGGCCCGCGAGAAGCCGCCGGCAGGGTGTGCAGGGCGGCCGCTCTGCGACACGCAGGTGGACCGCGGGCCGTAACTGGCAGAAGACAGTCCTTGACTGTGATGTGCTTGGGTCAATAAAGTCATGGAGTAAAATGATGCGCTTTGCTAGCCCAGGGTGTCGGGCCACTGGGCACAAAGTGTTTCTGACGCGTTCAGGAGTGGGGCCCCTCCTTTGGCTCCAGTGGCCTCGTCCGGCTCGGGCCACGTCCGGCTCGCAGCACAGGCTGCGGACGGAGACAAGCCTGGATTTGGTCTCGGCCGTTTCACCCCCTGGGCCTGCCCTTGAACAGCCTGCGCTAGCTGTCGGAGCCCCAGTTTTCGTATCTGTAAAGTGGAGATGATGACACTTGGATTTGGGGGACATGCTGTCAGGGTTACACGGACAGACGCGAGGAGAAGGACCAGCACACGCCTGGAACGGTGTGATCACTGTGGAAAGGGTACTTGTCACTGTCCAGACTAGTCAGCTGCTGACACACAACAATCTAAGTGGCAGACAGCCCAGACCTCTGGGCTCCCCCCGCCGGTCTGTGGGTGGCTGGGCTGAGCTGGCCTTCCCCGGCCTTGGCTCCAGGCCACGTGTGTAGGTCTGTGCTCTTTTCTCTGAAACTGGGGGCTACCCAGCTCATGCTTCCCTCGTGGTCATGTCAAGAGCACACGAGGAAAAGTCCAGATACACAAGCACGTCTCGGTCCTCTGCCTGGGTCACTGCTGCTAACAGCTCTTTGGCCAAAGCAAGTCGACGGCCAAGCTCAAGGTGAAGGAGTGACGTGCGCCTGCTGCCCGGAGCGCAGCCCTGATGAGGGGCTGGGTGTCACCCTCTAGAGGGGCGTGAGGACCTGGGGCCCACCTTCAGCGTGGCTCCCACCTTCCGCACACCTCGCCCTCAGGGAGGAGTGTGCCCAGGTGTGAGGCCCAGCACATTGTGAGAGCGGGCGAGCTCGGGTCCCGCCAGCGTCTCCGGCTTCCCGTGTCTGTCTGTGCGGCAGCAGGTCACCAGCCCTGGGGTCACGTGGGCTGGTTGTGCAGACGCCACCTGTTGGGAGTTCTCTGGAGTTGATGCGGGTTCTTTTACGGGTTTCCACTTACTTTCAGGATGTCTTCATTGGCCGCAGTTGGCAGCCCTCTGGGGGCCCATCACAGAGCTCAGGCTTGTGGTGGGAAGGAGCTGGGGTGCTGGGGGCATGTCTACGTCAGACCTGTGGGAGGAGGGCGTGGCGCCCTGGAGGCCTCCGCGCAGTAGGGACGTGAGCCGAGCCTCGAAGTCCTGCAGGTGCCGGTGACTCAGACACGGGCAGTGCGGGAGGGAGGCGGCCAGAGCTGCAGACGCTGGGGCGCTGCGAGGCCAGCATCAGGAGCTCTGAGCGGGGGGCAGCCCTCGGAGGACATGCAGACACGAAGGCCTCAAAGGAGAAGGGTTTGGACCAGAGCGACGGAGGGCCAGACCGAGGGGCTCTTTGAGGGGCCTCTGGCTTCACTGGGAAGCGAAGAATGAGCTGGGGGAGTGCAGACGACACCCTGAGCATTCTCCTCTGCGTGGAAGGAGCCGGGGGCTCCCTGCAGGTGCCAGCGGAGCACCCCATTCTCACGGGAGGCTGGAGGAAGGATCGCAGGCCAGCGCCTGGGGGAGCTGGGTGGGGGCAGAAAGTGCCCACAGGGAGGCTGTGCCCAAAGCAGCTGTCTCCTCTGTGGCCCCTCCGGGACAGAAAAGGGCACCTCCCAGGGTTCGAACCTGAGGGTCCACACTGCATTGACGTGTACCACTGAACCCAGATGATGGACCCAGGCGGTGGACGGTTCATTCCCTGAACTTCAAGAGGTCACCGACTGTCCTAAGACCGTGGGTGCAGGAACAAGGCCCCAGAACCCCTCACGTGGGGCTCACATCCTTCCTAGCCGGCGCACATCTGCCCGTGTGCTCACGTGGCCTCGTGGATGGTCTCAAAACTAGCACAGACACTGACTTCACCTTGCACGCTGCCCTACCACACACATTTCTTCTTGCCTTTCTCTCTAGTGCTTTTCATTCCTTCCCACCAAGTTGTTTGACACCTGTGTCCCGTCCATGGAATGCAGCTCCGCGAGGGCCTAGCTGCTCCGAGCACGGCTGCAGTCCCCGCGGCGGGGACAGGGCAGGCACGCCGCCCGTGTGCAGCAGTCTCAGCAGGCCGCGGGAGGGAGGAGAGAAATGCCTGGTTCCAGCCTGGCCACTGGACACTTCAATCACCTTTTTTTCTTTTTTTTTTCTTTATTGATTTCATAGAGAGAGGAAGGGAGAGGGAGAGAGATAGAAACATCGATGAGAGAGAACATCAACTGGCCGCCTCCTGCACACCCCCCACTGGGGATCAGGCCCACAACCTGGGCATGTGCCCTGACCAGGAATCGAACCGGTGACCTCTTGGTGCAGGGTCCACGCTCAACCACTGAGCCTCACCGGCCGGACAACTTCCATAGGCTTTTGTCATCTGTCAAATGGTGTGCACAGCCGTCCTCCATGGCTAATTGGATTGGTCCACACCTTCTGTGAAATCACTTTGAAATCACATGAAGGCATCACAACAAGACAAAAGAGAGACTGAGAATTGACAGAGACAGTAGAATTCTAGTGTCCCTCATCCCACAGTGGGAAGCGGTGATGTCCACCGACAAGCCGCCCTGCAGAGGGACGCAGGGAGAGGTGCGGAGGCCCAGCGGCTTTCCAGGCACCCCGGGACCCAGGTGTGTGTGCGCCCTGCCCCGCACCCCGGGGAGCCCCGGCTAGGCCTCCACCGGAACTAGAGCTGAGGCCACACCCTTCGCAAGCAAGGGAGACATTTTGAAAACAAGTTAAATAAACCAAAGCTAATGAACTGAATTAAACTTAGGAAGAAGCCCAACAAAACATCTTTCCCCAACTCAGTTTTTAAGATGGAATTCAGTTTGGTGAAAACTGACTTTGAAGAGGCAGCGTATTTTGGTGGAAAATGCTGTCAGTACAAGTCGCCCTGCAGACATGTAAGCTGACGGAAGATGACACAGAGTGATGTCCCACGGCTCATGAATGTGGCAGTCGCTGCTTGTCACCCGCTGGATTCCCAGAGTCCTCTCGGCAGTTGAATCCTGTCTCATTTATTCTTCCCTCCCGCCCCCTTACCTACGGGGCAGGAGTCAGTTTTCATTGTGACCGTCCAAGCGCTCCCTGTCCCCCTGCATTACCACTCAAGGGTTGGCTGGGGACACTGACACTGCCGCGTCACATCACATCAGCAGGTGTGACTTTTCCTCTCCAGTTCTTGGGTGAAAATGGCCACAGTCCTCAAATTCCCCATTTCGGATGTACTCTTCTCAGACCCCAATCCCTTGGCTTTGGTAGGACATGCAATCTGTCTTCCGGAAATTCCTCTTCTGCCCCCCAGGTTCAGAGGAAATCCCCCAGCACCCCACACCCAAGAAGGTGACCTCTTCTTTTTCAAAATTTTTTTCTTCCTTTATTGATTTTAGAGAGAGAGGAAGGAAGAGGGAGAGAGAGATGGAAACATGGATGAGAGAGAACATCGACTGGCCGCCTCCTGCATGCCCCCCACTGGGGATCGGGCCCACAACCTGGGCATGTGCCCTGACCGGGAATCGAACCTGCGACCTCTCGGGGCAGGGTGAATGCTCACCCACTGAGCCACCCCGGCCGGGCTAGAAGGTGGCCTGTTTCACACCACGCTCGCCCCTGCTGCCTTGGTGTCTCAGCCACCGCTTCCCGACGTGCTGTGTCCTCTCCTCCACCGCGCCCCGGCCGTGGGTCTGGACGGTGGTCTGGCAGTGTTGTCATTGGGGAGGTAACACAGAAGCCACCCAGTCAATGAGCAGAAAGTCTTGGCTCACTTCTTAGACAAGGGGATGGAAAATACCTCCAGTGGCTAGAGAAAGGGCTAATTGTACTCTAATAAAGTATCTCCCGGCAGCCATTCGATGGAGATTTATCCAAGTCTCCAAGGTGCCAATGAGGTTAAAATAAGACATTTTGAACTCAGATCCATTTTATTTCTTAATTTTAACCAAAATCTGCTTTTCTCTCTGTTTTTATCCAGAAGAGAAGTAACATCTCAGTAAGTCTGGGATCCTGGATTTCAACTGCTGGCCTATTTCTAAATCTTAGGCCATGGGCTCTATTCAAATGACTGTATAATTAGGTTAGAGAAAGCGGGTGAATCCCACTCGATTTGGGGGGAGAGAGGGGAGAGGAGGGAAGGCAGTCCTGACAGCCCGGGGCTCAGGTGTTCTGGGGAAGGGCTTGGCCCAGGCCAAGCGCAGGCCAAAACTCAGGATTGTTTGTGAAACTAGAGGTCAACTACTTCCGTTGTTTTGTAAACGCTGACGGCCAGAATGGAGTGCATGGACCTAAGGAAACACAGTAGCGGATGGGGAGAGGCAGGAAAAACCAGCTGGAGACCCCGGACGGTTATGGACCCAGCCTTGGGAGAGGCCAGGTGCCGGGACTGCTGGCCTCATCCATGCGGCCCCAGCTCTGGGCACAGGAGACTCCTCTTAGGGCGCAAGGCAGTGGAGTTGTTCCCAGGTGAACATTCCTCATTCTGGAGGAGCTGGCACCCCCTGGAGGCAGCAGGCCTCCCCTGCAGCCAGTTCTTTTCAGAGACATGCTTAGCAGGACCTGGCTGTTTGCATAATGTCATGTGTGTTTTGCATGGAGTCACGTGGGAGGTCTGAAGATCACATGGTAAGATACGAATCCCACAGAAAATAAACCTGTTACTGGGAAACTAAATCACTTCCCGATGTGTTTTGATGTGCGCCCCTTCTTGGGAGAAAGTAATTTGTGGAAACCAGTTTTGAACGGGGACTGGGGAGCGGCGCATGCTGGGCGGAAGGTTGGGGTTCTTGAAACCAAACTTCTTTCCTGGCCGTCCTGAGTTGCCTGGGGCAGGAGGCAGGAAGCCCGTGGCCCCTGCTGTCCTGGCTATTCTAAGCTGCTTGGATTAGGAGGCTGTTTTAGCACCGGCTGCCCTGGTCGGCAAGGCGATGGATAGGTCCTTGGGCCCCGCGGCACCGATCCTGTGGGAACCAGGTGCAGGACGGGCTCCGTCCACTGGGCGGTTCAGAGGACGGTTTCCTTGTCCACCAGAGCATCGGACTGCATCGTTTTCCTCTGAGCTGTGTCCTCTCCTCGCGTTAAAGCTGCGTGGGTAGCCAGGGCCCTCCGAGGTGGCCGCTGGCTGGGTGGAGGGCTGTGTGGGCAGGGGCAAAGGAAGCAGGAGTGTGGGGGGGAGGAGAGCGGTCCTGTCCCCCAGCGCTCCAGCTCTGCCTGGAGAGGGGCCCATGGGGTCTCTCAGGTGCCTCTCGCCCTCCTCCCGGATGGGACGGGTCCCTGACCCCTGCTTCCCAGGGCCGGGTGGGCCCAGTCTCTAGCAAGGACCCTGAAGTGAAGGCCCCCTCTCCTCTGACTCCCCGAGGGCTTGGCAGCCCCGCCAGCCCTCCTGCTGCTGCCTCTGTGCTCAGCCCTGCCTAGTCTCGCTGTCCCCGGCTCTGATGCACCTTCTCTCGCGGGCTCCTGGACTCGGGCTGTGAACTTTTCGTACACGAAGTGAAGAGCCCACACACTTACGGCTAGCCCTAGGCAGAGCCCTCAGGGTCAGGCCCCCTGCCCTGCAGCACCAGCTCCCTTCACCCCACCCACCCTGTCCCTGTGCCGTCAGCCTGGCAGACGCAGCCGTGCTCCACGGTGCCCCGCCCCCCCCCTCTGCTGCTCCCCTCGGTCCTCGGGTCTTCTCTGCCTCCACCTGCCATGGTTAAGCCTGACCCTGGGTGGGGGCAGAAGGGGGAGATGGACCCAGAATGCCATTGAGTTTCTTTACCCACATCCTGACCCCACGGTCTGGCTGCCCGGAGTGTGGTCTGAGTTTGCTGTTGTTACAACACAGCTCAGCTGGAGTCCTGCAGCCGCCCAGCACCTCTGCACGGAGGTCTGAAGGGCCACTCTCAGCCCTCCCTGCTCACCCTGGCTGACCCCTCTCCTTGCCACGTCTCCGGGAGGGCCAGAGAAAGAAGATCCCTGGAATATCTGCCTCATATCACAATGCCTTTGAAGTGAAGGGCCTCATGCATTCATTCATTCGTGCATGCATTCATTCACGGTGTGCTGAGCCCTCCTCCGCAGGTGCCAAACTTGTTCAGGCCTGGGGAACAGACACCCGCAGGCTAAGCTTCCACCGCGGAGTGCCCCACAGAACCGCTGGGGAGACCGACGGTACAAGAGAAACAAGCGACGTGGCGGGGTGCCAGGGCACTGAGCGAGGGCACAGGGACGTCAGGGCTTCATCCGGCCCACTGACATCAGCTTAGGTCTGGGGAGCAAGGGGCTTAGGGAGCACGGAAGACCTAATGCACCATAGGCTCTTTGCTGATGGTGGGGTCCAGGTGTCCACAGGCCAGAGAAAACCAGGGGGGAGGTGGGGAGACAGCCAACAGCCTGGCCCAGCCCTCTCTCTGCCAGGCAGTGGGGCCATGAGGCCCTCAAGCAGGGGAGACGTGAGAAGGTCGCATGGAGGGACAGCACAGAACTGGGGCGGCAGGCTGTGGAGGGATTCAGACATCAAGCCAGGACCCACGACAAGGGAGAGGGACGTAGGTGGGCCGGGAACAGAGTACCCAGGTAATGCTTCTCGGGCCCTGATGACTCTGTGGGCGCAGGGTAGAGGGGCAGGGGGCAGGCAGGAGAGCTCTGAGTAGGGCATCTGGCCACTGCGGCTGCCCAGATCCCCTGGGTCACTTACTGCAGATTAAATGTCCTGCACAGGAGCCTCTGATTGGCTCAGGCAGGACCATGTGCCAGGGAGCCGGGAAAGTAGGCTTCCTGGGTGGACAGCCACCTACTGGGGACATGGTGACCGCTAGCCTTGGCTGGACACTGAACTAACTCATTGCACCTTCTAGCACCCAAAGGTGCTGTTATTACCTCTCTCGTTGCAGAGTTGAGAAAACGGAGGCCCAGAGAGGTGAAGTGAATTGTCCAGTTTCACCACCGGAAGGGGCTGGGCCGCCTTCCTGCCTCAACAGGCTGAAGCTGGAACCTGGGCTCCCAACCCCCTCACTGCTTCTCAGTGAGCCTGTTTCTGTCCAAAGCAGGGGCAGATGCTGGTGGCAAATGCAGGACAGATGGCCTTTGTGCTGGATGTGTGGCCGCCTACGGATTACTGAGCCCCTCTGAGTCTCGGCCCGTGGAGATGATAACGAGGGCTGCCGTGGGCTGGAAGAGAGACCGCTGCTCACGGCCCAGCCCAGGAGCCGTCCCGCCCCTCCCCCTCTTTAACACCCACCAGGACCTTTGTATCTGACCCCACAGCCCCTGGCCTGACCCCTTAAGTGAAATAAACTGTCCATGCCTGCCACTGGTGCCAATCGGGGAAATCCAAAGTCATGAAAGTAAAACCCATGGAAAAAATTTAATGACCACTCATGGCTGCTAAGGAATGACTCGTGACCTGACTGTATAATGTGTTTTATCTTATTTATGTTAGCAATAATGACTGCATTTGAAAAGAATCTTATGTGATCCTTATAAAACTGTAAGAAAAAATAAAAACATAGAGAAGAAAGTTAAAATATCACCCCTGATTCAACCACTTAGAAGGAATCGTGTAGGTTTGATGTAGGTGATCATCAGATAGCCATATATACGTGTGTGTGTGAGAGAGACAGACAGACAGACAGAGAGACAGAGACAGAGACAGAGAGGGAAAACCTAGAATGTAACCATATCAGGGGCCGCATACTGGCCTGGACATGAATAGACCCAATGACGGAAGGGTGAGAGCATAGCATACAATACCACTAAAATTCAATCACACGCACAATCTTATTTGAATTTAGCAGAAGGAAAAGGAACTGGAGTAAAATCTTGCCTTCCATTCAGACTCTCCTGTTCAGACAGGTATGGTTCAAAGTTTTTCAGTGACAAACTCCTCAGTATTGGTGGCAGCCTGGCAGTGTGCCCAGATTCCAAAGCTCTGGGGCCCGGGAGGAGCTTGATGACATCGGGGTTGTGTGGTAAAGTCAGCCCAGTGCCCTGGGGAAGTGACCCGTGGCATCTGCAGCTTGGACTCAACAGGCACCAAGGCCGGAAGTCATGGGTACTCATCTCACTGAGGCGTCTTGGAGGCTGGAGTGTCCCCTGCTCCTCTGGCCCCGCCCACCACGGCTCTGAGCAGGGCACTAAAGGTCTCTCAGTTTGGGGTCCCCGGTGACTCAGCAGAGTAGGGCTGCACGGCTCCCAGAGCACCAGCCAGGGTCCTCATTTCTCCAGGTCACCCCTGAGCTCCTCATCTCCTTCTGGGCTTGTTCATCTGTGGAGGTGGCCCTGGGATCCGTGTGCTACAAGCTTCCCACCGGTCAGGAGCGGGCTAGGTCACGGAGCCAGGCAGGAACGGGCTGCCCTGGCGTGCCAGGGTGCTGCTCGGCACCTGAGCTTCGAGCCTTGGCAGAAGCTGGAGGACAAGGGCGCGGGCGGGACGTGTGAAGGGAACAGACTTGGTGCGTAGAATTGGACTGGGAGAGGCTGGGGCGGGGAGGGGAGGATTCTCAGTGAACCCGGACTTCTCTTCAAGTGTCTGAGTGCTGACACCTGAGGGAAAAAGACTTGCGGCCAATATTCACTGGTGTCCACAGGCATCCTCCACCTGTACCAGGCACCAGCACAGGAGACGGGCAGTAGGGGACCAAGCTGAGTAGGACAACGCTGGCCCTGAGGGCTACACAGCAGGTGGGGACATGGGAGAGGTGCTCCAACGGGGACATGCAGGTGCAGGGAGGGCAGAGTGGGGACACTGACCCACGTGGGAGCCACCAGCGACAGCCCCTGCTGGCCATTTAGCACTGGACAGGCGGCCGGTGAGAGGGTAAGGTTTTAAAGACTTTGTACAAACATCTCATTCAGAGTAACTTTTACACTGAGTAGGTGTTGAAATGATACAACTATGAAATATGGGTTAAATAATATATATTATTGAAATTAATTTCACCTGCTTCTTTTTACTTTTCTAAATGTGGCTACAAAAAAAATGGACGTTGATCCGCACCTGGAGCCTGCGGTCACCTTGCAAGGCAACTCGACAGGGCTGCTCTCGCTGACCGCATGGGGACCCCGGGCTGGCCATCAAGGAGCACGGGTGGGTAGGTCTGGACTTCACCTCCCCAGAACAACTATTAGGGAGAAGGCCAGCTCCCTGGGTGTCCAAACAGGATGGTGGTGAGGAGACCGGATGGGTGAGTCCGGGGGCCCTTCCATCTCTAAGCCTAACCGGGGCTCAGCAGGCCCCTTTCCTGCCCCTCGGGGCCCTCAGGCAGGACCTAGGACCCGAGCTCCCCTGGTGTGTGGCCCAGAGGTGTTGCCAGGGCCAGGGCTCTGCCCACGGAGGCCCTCCAGGTGGCCCCGCCGCCCGAGCCCCGCCTCGCCCTCATCAGAGTGCCCTGGAGCATCTCCTTGGCCCGGGCCAGGGCTGCTTCTGCGGGGACAGCCACGTGGGGCGCCACGCCCACCCCTTCCCAGGAGCGGCCGTCCGCAGCCCCCACGGAGCGGGCCGTGGGGATGGTGATGTAGAGGTGCGTGTCGTCCACGTGGTAGGTTTGCGGGGGCTGGCAGCCGCCGCTGGTCACCTCCCCGACGACGAGCGCGCGGCCCAGCCTCTTCAGGATGTAGGTGAACTCCTCGGCCGCGCCCGCCGTCACGCCGCTGGTCAGGATGACCACGCTCTTCGCGGGGCTGTAGCGCTGGCCTGCGGGGACAGGGCCCTTCAGGCGGGAGGCCAGACAGCGTGGGAGGAGGCTGGGTCCGCCGCCTTGTGCGCACTCGGGAGTCCCCCCACGTCCTGCGCCCCGTCCCTGCGTCCAGAACACGGGGCGAGAACGTGCCCAGCCTGGGTGCCTGGCCCCTTCGGCCGCCCCACCCGCGCACACTCCCACGCCCAGTGCCGAGGGCTCGACTCTGAGCAAAGGCCTGTTCCCTTTCATTAATAATAGAATAGCTAACGTGACCGACTCTTTTCACTGGGACCCTCAGAAAAGCCAAATGTGTGACTTGACAACTAGCCTCTGGGACAATGACATCCAACAGAACTGCAGCATGAGCCAGGGGGCCAGCCACAGGTGTCATTTCAAGTTCCCAGGAGCTACGTTAAACAAGTAAAAAGAAACCGATGAAAAGAGTTTTAACAACATTTTATGGAACTCAGTATATCTAAACTATGTTCATCTAAACAATGTAGCTAATAAAAGTATTGATGAGATATTTTAAAGCTTTTTACTTCTTAAAATATCTTCAAAATCTGGCATTCACCTTACGCTTCACAATCCACATGAACAGTACAAACCATCATTCCCCTGGGTGACCTGTCCTTGAGCAGAGAGTCCCCTGCTGGCCATCAAAGCTGTAGGACCCCTGGTCTGCAGATCTGTCTATGCTTAGCTCCTGGTCTTGAATGTCCATTTGACTTTAGAATTGACCTGGTTCTGATTTTTAGTTACATGTTGAATTATTGTTGACAGTGTGTCCTAGAAGCTCGCCCAAATGCTCGTGTGATAAGGAAGTGTGCAAATGAAAACGGCAGGTGCTCTTCCGGTCACATGCACACCCGCTGGCTTCCCAGACTCCTCTCGTCCACGGGAGTGCAGGGTCCCTGGCCTGGGGTGCTGGGCAGGGGACAGAGCGAGGCTGTCCAGTAGCGACAGGGCTGGGAGGGTCGCGGGCTGGAAGTGGATGCCCTCACAGCGTCGGAACCTTCTTGGGGTGTGCTGAGTGCTGACGGGAGATCAGTGAGATGAGCGCTGGAAACCCTGTGGGGTCTGGTGGTGTGCAGGGGGAGCCTAGTTCTGCCTTCGTCTTGCAGGTGGAGGGGTGTGTGGGGGGGATGGGAGGCATTTTAGCTTGCTAGCTGGGTGATGTCAGACAGCATATTCTCCCAGGAGAGAGCCATCCTTCCCCTCTGGAGAATGGGCGTAATGAAAGACCATATGTGCAGAGTGCATGGCACAGGACAGGGGCTTCACATACACATATTACTTTTACTTGAACCCACGCTGTCTTTTTCTAATTTTCCAGAAGCTTCTAGAGTGAGAACAGACAGGGAACGTTTTCTGCACGCACCTGCGAGCTGGCTGTGGGTCCACAGCTCACTGACAGAGTCACTGGGCCGGCTGTAGATTTTGTCCAGCAGAATGGGAGGGTCTTCGTCGAAGAAGTAGGAGCACAGGGCCGAGATGGACGAGGTGGGGCCGCCGATGTTGAACCTGAGGGAAGGAGACGGAGGCTGTTGAGAGCAGAGCTCACAGTGCGGCCCTTGGCGTCCCTCCGGGAGGCTTGGCTCTTCGTCCTGTGGAGGGTTCTAATTCCAGGCAGCCTCCGTGTAGTGCCCCTCCCTCCCCCTCCAGAATCCCTCCGTCGGAGTTCCCCAGTGTACAAGTGTCTTGAAAACTAGAGACGCTGTCGTCAAATCTGTTTAGAATTTACTTCACACCATACCTGCCTCTTCTGATCACATATTAATTTATTGTGTTATGCATACTATCTACATTACATTAAAGGCTCTGACAAGTCCTGCAGCCAGGAACTTGTTGATACATTTCCCTCACTTCATGACCATGGACTGTTTCCCTGCACCCATGCTTCCTGGGAATTGAACTCATCTGGGAACACTGTCCTCCCCAGTTGCATGCTCGATATTTTCACAAAAGCCACTAGGAGATGAGGTGTTCGAATGGGACAGACAGCATGACAGCACATTCAGAGTTATGAAAAGGCATCAGAAGTGAGCAAAACTGCGCCTGCCCTAGGCCATTTCTATTTGCCCCAAGTCATGGTCTTCCTAGGCCCCAGTATCTTCATCTGGGAAACAAAGTGCAGAGCTGATTGATGGTCTAGGATGACCTGGCGGGTTCAGGGCTTGTGACCTTAGCCTCTGAACCTCCAAATCTCACATTGGAAGGCTCTTTAAGCAAAGCACACCCATAGGCTGGGTCTCCTTTTATTAAAAAAAAAAAAAAATGTGTGTGGCACAATTAAGCAGAAAGGGACTTAGCATGGAAGTATTTAGAGGTTTATAGAGCATTTGAAGAATGAAGGGATCAGAGGTACACACAGGAGCCCCCGAGGTCAAGTTCTGGGCAGCACACTGGAGCCCTGGGAGACATTTTCTCTCCCAGGGAGGAGAACCAGCCTCCGGGATCCAGCGCCACCTAGTGACGACTAAGAAAACGGGAATATTGCAGGCCAGCGGCCAGAGCTGGGCGCCCCATGTCAGCCAATCCCCGCGGCATCTGTCTAGTAGCCTGCCCCTCCCCTTGCCACAGAGGGTGCCCAAGCAAGCCAGCGATGGGCCTGGGAGTCACGGGAAGCCCGGCTCTGGCCTCTGGCCGACTCTGGCCGGTGTCACAGGGATGCTTCCCCCGTTCTCGGAGGGAAACACACCTCTATCGGGCACATCTTTACAAAAGCAGAAGCGGGTGGCTGACCGAAAGCATCCCTCCGACAACCATTTTGTGAGGCAAAGAATCCTTTCTGCAACGAGAGTGGCTAATTTGGAAATGCTCTCTGGGCCTCTGGCTTTATGATTCTCGTAACCAGGGTGGTCGTGGGCTGGTTTTGTATGACGCGAGCCACCACCACAGGTGGAGACCTTGCTGTTCCAAACATGACTGGTCATCGGAATCACCCAGGATGATGCCCGTCAAATATACGGATCGCGGGGCCTCAGCCTTGGAGCTTTTGACTCAGTGGGGACTGGGTGGGGCACTGGAATCAGTGTTGTTCCTGTCTCCCTCTCCCTCCCCAAGGAATCCTGTGACCAGGCACATTTGGGGACTTCTGAATTAGCTCAGTAATTCTCAGCCTGCTGTGGATATTGGGATCAGCAGAGGAAATTTAAAATCTACCAGTGCTGGGCCCTGCTGATGTCGCTCAGTGGTTAAGCGTCGACCCTGCACCAAGAGGTCACCGGTTCGATTCCCAATCAGGGCACATGCCCAGGTTGAGGGTCTGATCCCCTGTGGGGGGCATGCAGGAGGCGGCCAGTTGATGTTCTCTCTCATCGATGTTCCTATCTCTCTCTCCCTCCCCTTCCTCTCTCTCCAATATCAATAAAGAAAAATTATTTTTTAAAAAATGTACCAGTGCTGGAGTCTCACCTAGCCAATTAAAAGCGAACCCCAGAGCCAGGGTTCTAGCCGGGTGGCATAATCCTTTTCAACACTTATCAAGGTTTTTTCTTCTTCTCTACTAGGCCCATGACTTTACCTGTCTTCCAGCAGCGGCCCTGGCCTGACCCCGCTCACTGACCTCATGTCGATGATCATGGCGTCCGTGTGCACAATCTTCTCCCACACGTGTTTCACCAGCAGCTCGGAGACCTGCGTGAGCAGCTCGCCGTCTCCAAACATGTCGAACCTCAGGTAGCCGATGTTGTCCTCGAGCACGTTAGTGTGGAAGGAAAATCTGATCCGGTCTTCAAAGACCTCAGGGGAAGGGATCTGAAAGATTGAGAGACTCCCCTCAGTGTCAGGAGAGGAGCAGCGTTTAAAGCTTAGAAAAGTGGACCCCAGAGATTTCCTTCAATATGGAGAAACATGCAGGATATGCCAAGGGAACGGACCTTTGTGAAGGAGGCAGTAGGTGCCAGGACCTTTCCAAGAGGCCCTGGGTTATGAAACCACAGGTGGTTGGCAGCCTCCTTACCAAGGACACTCATCTATGCCAACCCCATGCCCTGAAGCGGAAAGGCTAGGCATTGTCTCCACTCTGTCTCCCTGACCTCACCAGACACTTCTTGATGTCCCTGAGCTCGCTCCTCCTTCTCCCCTGGAGCAGGGAGGGATGACATGAGCTATGCGGCCCCTGAGTCTTTACCAGGGGCCTGGCCATCAGCCTCATGGAGACCCTGTCGGTAAGGGAGCCAATCAGTCCCCATCTTTTTTATGAAGACCTGAAACACACAGTGATTAAGTAACTTCCCCAAGGCTGTACTAGCGGCAAGTGGTAGCAGAGACAGAATCTGAACCCACAGGGGACACCAGACTGTGAACTGTGCCTACGCTGGAAAGGGGTGAGCCTCGAGGTGAGTCTGGAGGTGCTGTGAGCCTATACTAGGCTCCTCCTCTCTCTCCGGGGCTGCCTGCGGCTTCGCCAGCTGGCCCCAGGGCAAGGAGCCGGCAGGACGCCAGTGTGGACCGGGACACACGGCCTGGCTGCAGGTCACGCTCTGCCCTCACGAACCAGCTGCTGGGGCTGCTCCCTCTGCACCCTTCCAGACCTCAGTTTCTCCTTTTGTAAATGGAATGCCAGTTCTGCAGTAGATGCTTTTGGTGCCCTCGGCCCTCCTTTGAATTCAGCTGGACCCCCGCGAAAGGGCTCTGCCTCCCTCACACCTCTGTTTCCCTGCGCTCCACTTCAGACCCTTCTCCAAGCTTGCTCAGAGTCTGAGAGAGACGGTGCGCCCTGGGGAGCCCTCAGCCAGTGGAGGGCTGGAGCCCAGGGCTTGGCTCCGGGAGGCAGTCCTCACGCGGGCAGGTCCTGTTGGAACCAGTAACGTGCCCACCGGTCAGCTTTCCCTCTTCCCGCCCGCTCTCCCTGCTCCCTCACTCCTGCTCCGGGGACCACCTCTCACATACATTGCCTACACCCAAGCTCGTGCCTTAGGCCTTGTTTGTGGGGGAACCCACGACAGCTGCCTCGCTGACTAGCAGTGAAATCATAGACGATGCCAGACGCGGAGAGCTGTAAATGCGGCGTCGCTGGAGCGCGGAGCTGATGGGAGCTAGCGGAGCCTCCCAGCTCACCCTGCCTCTGGCGGGTCCTCTCCATCCACCCAGCAGCACGCGTCCCGGAACGTCAGTGCTGGCTTCATGCGCTCTGCCCACAACACCTGGCGCAGAAAGTGCCGCCCAGCTGCCCCTGGAGCAGCCTCAGGCCGCTGAGTGCTGCCCCTTCAGGACGCGGTGCTGGGCGTGGGGGAAGGGAGGAGGGGCCTTGGGCCCCAAACCAAGCAAAAGTCGTCGCTGTGGTTCTCTGGGCTGCGCCCTGCCACCCTGACCTCTGCAGGGCCTGTGTCTAGGCTCCATGCTGAGGCCCCAGCACTGTGAGGCCAGGGTATCACCGGCTTCCCTGTCCCCGCCCCCTCAATGCACCCACACTGAGGGCCTGCGAGGCAAGCAGGGGGCTACTTCCGGAAGGGGACATTGTGAGCTCAGGGGACTTGCTGACGCTCTCTCCTACACCGACAGCGAGAATCCCTGCGACACTCGTCCACTGCCCAGATGTGAGGGTAGCTCCTCCTGCACCAGGGTTTCCCAAGTGGGTTCTGTGGGTGCCTGTGTTGCTTGGAGGTGCTCCCGAACCCACGGGCATGGAGTGGGTGGGATGGCAGAGTGAGAGACAGGAGGAGATTGACTGAAAGCCATTGCCTTGCACCACACACAGAACCCTGAATGTGCAGACAACTGGTCAACTCCCTCCCGGGGCTGTGCTGGCCAAGCATCCTTTGTATCTCACCTGCATGGGCACAATCCCAGGAATGCGGTCCTTGGCATCCTCAGGGATATGGGCTGTCTTCAGGTGTGGGTCCCCAGACAACATCTGCAGGTCAGCAGCCAGCATCTCCGCCAGGGCCCCTTCAGAGGTCACCCTCGAATAGCGGCTCTGCAGGTGGCTCAGTTTGGCAGCTACCTTGGCCCCCAGATCAGGGAAGGCATAGTTATCGGCGACCAGCTTCCCGGTTGTCTGCAGCACAGTGGGCACCTTGGCACGCAGGGCCACTATGTCCTGGGCTGTGGAGAGGGCCTCGCTCATGGGCACAGTGATGTTGGGCTCCACCCCAGCCAGGTCCCAGGCCTCACCTGTGCTGGCGCTCAGGGCCATCTGCGTGGGCATGGAGGCATATAAGGGACTGCTGCCCACCTGGTAGATGCCCACAGAGAGCGCCCCTCCAGCTGTGGGCTCCCCAATGACCGTGGCCCGCTGCAGGTCCTGCATGGTGTGAGCAAACGCCTCGGCTGCTGACCCACTGGTGTGGCTCGTCAGGACGTAGAGGTCTTTGTGGGGGCCGTAGCGCTGACCAGCCACCTGGGGCAGGGTCCACACCTCTGTGACTCTCGAGGTGGCTCTGTCAAAGACAGAGTAGAGGTGCTGGCGGGGCTCCACCTCAAAAAAGTAGGAGCAGAGCAGGGGCACGGCCGTGGAGTAGCTGCCAGGGTTGTAGCGCAGATCGACAACCAGCGCGGCCGTGTCCACCAGCCTCTGCCACACCAGCCGCACCAGCTGCGGCCCGATGGCCTTCACCGTCTCCAGCTCGGCCATGGCATCAAATCGCAGGTAGCCCACCCGGCCAGGCAGCACCTCGGTCTTGAAGAGGGCCTCGATGAGGTAGGAGAGCTCCTCCGGGGAGAAAACGGCAGGGGGTGGCGCGGGCACCTCCTCTGCGGTCAGCTCACCTGGGCTGTGGAACACCAGCAGCCGGTGGTCCCCAGACATCTCCTGCAGGTCAGCCGTGAGCTGGGAGGCCAGGGACTCCAAGTCCACGGCCGTGCGGTAGGCCCCCTGGGCCAGCTTGGCTTGTAGTAGGTCTCCTATCTGCCCCACGACCTCTGGCCGTGCATAGTGGGCCTCCAGCAGGTGGCCCGTGCCCTCCACCAGTGCCCCCAGGCTGCGGTGGAACTCCAGCACCTCCCGGGCTCGGTCCAGGGCCTCCTCGGCCAGCACGATGGCGTCGGGCACCACCCCGCCCCCCAGCCAGCACTCTCCGTGGTTGTCGATGAAGGTGAGCACGGGCACGGTGAGCGCCAGGCCGCCCTCTGGGGTCTGCAGCAGGGGTACGGTGTGGGAGTGGAGCAGGCTGCCGGCTGTGATCTCTCCCACCAGCGTGGCCCAGCCCAGCGACTGCATGAGGAAGGCCAGCTCCTCGGCGGCGGTGGCGGTGCGGTGGCTGGTGAGCAGGTAGACCCCGCGCGCGGAGCCGTAGCGCGGCCCCGGCAGCTCGGCGCGGCTGAAGTGCTCCCGGGTGACGTTGGTGCGGCGGTCGTAGGTGGTGAACAGGCGCACGGGGCCGGAGCCGGGGCTCTGGAAGTAGGACAGCAGCAGCGGCACGGCGGACGACGGCCCCCCCGGGTTCTGGCGCAGGTCCAGGATGAGGTGCCCCGTGCCCTGCAGCGGCTCCCACACCCGGCGCAGGAGGTGCGCGCCCAGCGCGCCCAGCACCGACACATCCGCGAAGCTGTCAAAGCGCAGGTAGCCCACGTTGCCCGGCAGCACCGACACCTGGAACACGGAGTCCACCAGGGCCTGCCGGGCAGCCTCATCCTCTGGCACTGCTGGGGTCACCTCCGGGGGGCCATCGGCTCCCGCCGCAGGCCCAGGAGAGGCTTCTTCTGGCCTGATAACCCGCACCAGGAGCCTGGGGTCCTCGGACGCAGCCTGCAGACCGGCGTTGAGCCTAGTAAGCAGGTCGTCCTCGGAGACCACGCTGGCCAAGTCCGTGCTGGCCAGCTGGTGCAGCAGGGCGGGCACGCGGTCCACCCGCGTGTAGTGGTCCTGGAGGGCCTCCCGCAGGCGCCGCACGACTCCCGGCAGGGCCCGGCGCAGTGTCAGAATGGCCAGGGCCTTCTCCAGGGCCTGCTCGGCGGGTGTCCCCACACAGGGTGGCACCCCGTTACCTTCCCACACCTGGCTGCCTCTGCCCAGCGGCCCCAGGGACCTGGACACGGGCACTGTGAGGAAGAAATCGGACTGGCCTATCCTCAGCTTCTGGAGCTCTAGGGCGCCCCCCACAGTCCGCTCACCCACCACGATGGCCCTGCGCATCTGTTTGAGGATGTGGGCGATGTCCTCGGCGACACCCCCCGTGTGGGCACTGGTGAGGACCACGACATCCTTGTCTACACCGTACCGCTCTCCCGGGACCCGCGGCAGCGTCCAGATCTCAGTGGTGGTGTTGGAGGGGCGGTTGTAGATGGTGTCCACGTGCAGGATTGTGTTTTCGGGGTGCAGGTAGGAGATGATGTAAGGGATGCCGGAAACATGGCCCCCCGCGCAGTGACGGAGGTCCAGCACCAAGGCGGATGTGCCCCTGAGCTCCCTCCAGACAGTGGACACCAGGAAATCCCCTAGCCTGCTCATCACCTCCTGGCTCGGGATGGTGTCCACCCGCAGGTAGCCCACGTTGTCCTCCAAAACCTCGTGGCGGACGCCCTTTTGCAGTCGGGCAAATAGTTCCTCCTGTGTGAGGTTGGTGAGTGCTGGGACTTGCCGGACAGCCACGAGGGCACCGGGCTCGTAGGAGATGACCAGGCTCCGGTCGTTCAGAGAGCTCTGCACCCCAGCCGTCAGTACCTGGGCCAGGGTGTGAGGGTCTGCGATGTCCAGGATCTCCCAGCTCCTGATGACCCGCTCGATGGCTGCCTGCATTCCCAGCAGGTTCTCTGGGAAGCAGTAGTTGTCCAGGAGGACCTGGGCCATGTCCAGCACCAGGCTCGGCTGGAAGAGCTGTGTGGGGCCAGCCAGGCCACTGAGCAGCGTGGACAACAGCAGGGCCCACACTCTGGTCATGGGGATCCAGGAGGGCTGGCTCCCCCACAAAGCTGCCTTGACCATGTGGGAGGCCTCGGAGCTGCCCTGGCGCTGCCGGCCGTCGTCCTTCTCAGCGCACAGACAGAAGGTCTGAGGCTAAATGCGGGAGCTGAGGTGCTGCCTTCCCCAGTAAGCCCTTAATCCTGGCTAAGTCAAGCTCATCAGCCCAGGGGCCGCAGACGGGGCGGCTTGACCCAGGAGGTATGTTGAATCCCATCTCGCATGTCACCTCTGTGCACAGTAATTTGAATAACTATCATTTATTTTGAGTTCCTGCCGCATGCAGGGACTGTGCCCCATGCTTTACAGGCCAACAGCCTTCCTTGCAAAGTGGAGCTAATCACTTGCAAGTGACAGCATTTCCCCACTGCCCTGGGTGCTCCCTGTCTCTGGGAGCAGCAGAACCCGGGGCAGGCCTGAGGTCTCACTCACTGTGTAATTAAGGGAGGCAGTGCACACAGAGCACCTCACAGAATGAAGCAAGAGGGAAGCACCCAGCTCCTGATGTGTTCTCCGGTGGGTATGCGCTGCTTCATGGCGGAGAAGCAGTTCAGGAGGAGGGAGGATTGGGGGTGGACAGAGCGCCTGTGAGGTCAGCGGCTCACAGTGCCGTTTGAGTCCAGCTTCAAGCGCATCAACTGCAGGCTTGAACCTTATCCCCGTGGCCCTCCTGACGGCTTTCACGTGACAGGAATGACCCGTCTGGACCTCCACGTGGGGTTTGTGAGCGAGAGGGGACCTGCCTTCAGACGTCACGGACCAGTGACTCCAGCTGAGGTCAGCGGAGCGTCCCTTCTGCTGGGTGAGAGCCCAGCCCACGGCCCGCTGCTCACAGAGGGCGCTGAGCAGTAGGACTTGGGTCCCTGGGGTCCCAGGCCCCACGGTGACCAGATCGCTCTCCCTACCTGCGTGGGGCACATGAACCAGTCCCAGGTGACCAACTGCTGGACTCTCAGGTTCCCAGTTTCTGCTCCTCCCCGCGCCTAGGACGAGAACCCCTGCCTTTTCTCCCATCCCTCCAGGGGTGGGCCTCCCCTCACGTCACGCTGAGAGGCTGTGGCTCAGAGACAAGCACCGCTGCAAGGGCAGCCCCACCGCCAGGGAAGAGCGCTGGGGCAGTGCCTGGCTCTGGCCCCCACCGGCCCCTGACCTCCATCCAGCATGCAGCGCTGGCGCTGTGCAGACGGCAGGCAGGGGGGGCGCATGTGCGCCTCCGCAGGCCCCGGAGGAGGCCTTGGGGTGGGGGCGGGGACTTTCTCAGCCACTTGACAGCCACATTATACTCTCTGGAAATCATTATCTGAGGATGTTTACCAAGTGGTTTATGAAGGCCAAGGAGGTCAATTAGCTAAAAGAAACATATTTTTAGCTCATTAGGATTTGTTTAATGCCCAAGTGACATATGGTCACATCACTCCACTATTGGCAGCCAATGAAGTGAGCCTGGTTTATAATAATAATAAGGCCTTCGCGGTCCCTGCTGACAGGGCCGGTCCTTCTGCTCCACCTCCGCACGGGGCTCCCAGCTCTGCGCATGCATTCTGGTCCTCTGAGGACAACGTCCCGTCATGGCTGGAGCCCCGGCAGAGCCTCTGGGCGGGGGGTGGGGGTGGGGGGTGAGGATGAACTGGAATAAGTCTCTTTTGGGGGAAAATGCTGCCCTGAACTCTTATTAAAATGCAATCTTGAGCCTGTCAGATGTGGTTTAGTGGTTGAGCGTCAACCCTGCACCAAGAGTTTGCCGGTTTGATTCCCAGTCAGGGCACATGCCCAGGTTGTGGGCCCGATCCCCAGTCGGGGGGGGGGGGGGGGTGCAGGAGGCGGCCAGTCGATGTTCTTTCTTATTAATGTTCCTGTATTTCTCTCCCTCTCCCCTCTTCTTTCTCTAAAATCAATAAAGAAAACAAATCAAATGCAATCTTGAGATCAGATGCCTGGAGCTGTTGCTGGTCTTGATTTAGGCAGATGGCCCAGAGCCTCGCGGAGGAGAAACTGAACCGGAGTTTGTTGCAAGTCACTGGGTTGTGTGAGTAGACAGTTCCTGCAAGAAGAGGCGAGCTGTGCCCCCCGTGTGGCCTGAGCTCTGTGGGAGGAAATTCTGTCCCCAAAGTGCCCCATATTCTCCAGGAGCTGGCGGTGTCCTGGCCCCCAGGGGCAGCAGCTGAGGAGAGCACGTTCTGTGCAAGTCCCAGAGGGGCGCCAGGAGCTGCTGGCCGCTGGCCCAGGGGCTGCAGGGAGTTCCGGGTGATGGTGGGGGTGAGTTTGCAGTTTCGATGGAGTCGGAAGACCCTGCCTCCCCCTCACTTGTACAAACAGCCACATGGGCAGAGCGTCAAGAATGTGGGCTTAGGAGCGTCCCCTACTGCTTTCTAGGGCAGAGACGTAGATGGGGTGACATGGCTTCTCTGTGCCTTGGCCTCCTCGGGAGGAGAAACCCTCGTGGCACAGTCGCTGCAGTGTTTGCAGGTATGAAGAATCCGAGAGCTCGCGGCTGGGGCGCAGCAGGCGGGGCCAGACCTCCTCTGTGCGGCCGGGCAGGGATACCCCAAGACGCAGGCTTTGCCCTTGGGACCCGGGGATACCAGGTGCTTCTGAGGCCCCCGACCTCCCACAAACCTGTGTATATTTGGAGAGTTTGTACATTTGAGAAATGCCCAGGCTTGGTATTCACTCCGATCACACCCCACAGTGACCCTGGCCTAAGACAAATGCCTCGGAAGGCATGCTCTCGGGATGGTCAACAAAAGTATGCCTCCACCCTGGGCAGTCCAGGAGGAGCAGTCACCTGTGAGATCGCGGATTCACTCTTGCGGTGGTCACAGGCCTTGTCTGGTTATTTATCCACCCACCCACATCTCTATCTATCTATCTATCTATCTATCTATCTATCTATCTATCATCTATCTATCTATCTATCTATCTATCTATCATCTATCTGTCTATCTATTATCTCATGTTAGTTTTTCCCTCAAAGGTCATTGTGAACATTTTCAAGTGGTATAGCAAATAACCACGTACTATCTACCTAGATTTTACCACAGACATTTTATTACCCTGTCTTTATCTTCTGTCTCTTTGGCTCCCTCTCTAACCATCAAGCCAAGATATTTTTGGGATGCAATTCAAAGCAAGTTGAATCTTGTCTTTGTTTTAACTCTTTTTTTTTAAAAAAAAAAAAGTGTTTAAGAATAAAACTGAAACATATTTTTACAAGTTAAATAATTCCTAAATGTGTGAAAATCTTTTCCCAAAAATGTTCTAGCCCAGCCAATAGTAACAGTTTAATGTGTTCAGACTGGAAGCACATATGTAGAAAATCTACCTCTTCATCCATCTGTCCATCTATCTCATAATAGTATAAGCAGTAATTTGCATTTTGTTTTTCACTTAAATGTACAGGGGAAAATTCTTCCAAGTTGAAGCATATGCAAAAACGTATCCTTTTAATGGCTGCATAATAGTCCTTGATAACTTACTGATCTGTTTCCTTAATGAGGGATAACTTAGCCATTTCTGTTTTTTTTGTTTGTTTGTTTATTTGTTTTTCAATCCTCACCCGAGGACATGTTTTTCATTGATTTTAGAGAGAGGAAGGGAGACAAAGAGAAACATTGATGGGAGAGAGAAACAATGATCGGTTGCCTCCTATATGGCCCTGACCCACAACCTCAGTTTGTGCCCGGACCAGGAGTTGAACCAACCACCCTTTGGTAGATGGGATGACGCTCCAACCAACCGAGCCACTCTGTTTTTGATTCTATAAACAACATTGTGGTAAGTGTTCTTGAACACACGAGGGCTTCTGTTTCTGTAGAATAAATGTCCAACCCTGGGCTTGCTGAATCAAAGGGAACATGCATTTGTTTGATTTTCTTTATTCTATTTTTCAGTCACTTCTAAATCATATAATAAATGTATACTTTTTCTGTTTATTTTTTTTACAACTTGGTATGTAATTGATGTACAATAAGCTACCCATATTTAAAATGTAGAAGTTAGTGAGTTTTGACTTGTGTTACACACCCATAAACTGTCACCATGATCATGATGACATATATCGTCCTCGTCCCCAGATCTTCCTCATGCTCCTCCATCTCCAAACACTACAGATTGGTTTACATTTTCTAAAATTTTATATCAGTGGAATTATACCATATGGACTATTTGTATCTGTCTTCTTTTACCTCAGTGATTTTGAGATTCACCGATGTTGTTGCGTGTCCCGTTAGTTCATTTATTTAATTGCTGAGTAATAGTCCATTCTGTAAATAGACCACAGTTTGCTATCAACTCATGTTTTGATAGACTTACAGGTGTGTGACTCTTACAAATAAGCTGCTGTGAAAATGTGAGTGTCAGTCTATGTGTGGACATATATTTTTAGTTTTGGTAGACAGGAATGCATGTTTAATGTCTTCAGAGACTACCTGTTTTCTAAAATTTAAACTCCTACCAGCCATATGTGAGACCTCCAATTTTTCCACCTTAATACAAACAGTTGGTCTAGTCAGACGTTTTCGCTGTAGCCATTCAAATGGGCATGTAGTGTCTTCTCATTGTGATTTTAATTTGTATTTCCTTGATGAGTTATGATGTTGAGCATCTTTTTATATATTTATTGGCCATTTGTATATATTCTATGATAAAATGTCTGTTTGAATCTTGCTCCTTTGTTGGAAGTGGGAGTAGGGAGGAGTTTTTGTCTTATTGTCGATAAAGTAAGAGTTATTTTTATATTCTGGATGTGAGCCTTTTGCTAATACATCTGTTGCATATATACCCATCTGTGGCTTGTCTTTTTTTTTTTTTTTTCTTTTATTTGTTTTAGAGAGAGAGGAAGGGAGAGGGAGAGAGAACATCGATTGGCCACTTCCTGCACGCCCCCCACTGGGGACGGGCCCACAACCTGGGCATGTGCCCTGACCAGGAATCGAACCAACGACCTCTTGGTGCAGGGTCGACGCTCAACCACTCAGCCACACTGGCCGGGCTGTGGCTTGTCTTTTCATGCTCTCAACAATAGATTTTGAACATCAAGTTTTTAATTTTGATAAATTCCAGTTTATCCATTTTTCTTTTATGATTCATATTTTTGTGCCACGTCTAAGAAAGATTTGCTTATTT